GCTTTTGCTGCTGCTTTGTTTATCTGCCTGTCTGCTGCGACTCACGTGTAACAAGCACAACGTAACGGTTGCTTGCCCTCCTTCTTTCTCTCTGTCTGTCTATGTGTGTCACTGTCGCACTCACTAGGGTAAACACGCACACGCTCACCAGTACACTCGGCAGAGGCGTTGAGGTCCGCAGCGTCGCGAAGTTCAACGTAGACTGACTGTGAGAATGGACGAATAAAAACTCGTGTGCTGCTCGCAGTTGCTGCGCTGCGCTGCTGCTGCTGCTGCGAAGCGAACTCAACTCAACTTTCCACAGGAAGCTCACTCACTCAAACGGCGCCAAATGTTAAACAATTGGCAATGTGTAAGCCAGCCAGCTCAATGTTTGAATTGTCGTGCGCCAAAGTAAAAAGTTAATTATAATCGACAAACACGAGCCGACAATTACCACGCATGTTCGCAGAAGAGCAAAACAAAATGATTTTGTTTTTGCCATGCTCTGTGCTCGATTTGTGCTCAGAGTTTTCGCTCGCTTTCTATCACATTGCAGCTGAGGCGAAAAGGGGGTGTGGCTGTTGCTCACGGCTTGCTGCTTGCTGCGTGCAACAGCTGCGCAACGGGCAGCGAGTCGGCTGTTTCCTCTGCAAAATCTGTCCTTCTCCCATTAATGCGTTAAAGCATTTCATTTAAGCGCCAAATGTGGCGCTTATTGAATTAAGTTTTGAGCTACCGAAGCGTTCAAGTTTAATCTGACCCTTGTCCGCTGGCCCAAGATGCGTATGCGTAATATGCGTTGCGCATACGCCATGTAATTTCCTTTTTTTTTTAAGTACTTATAATTGAAAGCGTTGTTGAGTTAAACAGGGCCGCTCGTTAAATGAAAATACATTTTTTCAGCTCATAAAACAGAAAATGGTTGTATTTTTTATGCGCTCTGCTCAAATAAAACGATAAACATTCCAGGGAATTTAATATTCATACTTGGTATGTATGCTTGAGTCATTGTTTGCACCTATTCGTGTTTACTCTGGCGTTTCGTTAATGTATTTGGGCACTTGTTTGAAATAATACATACATACATAAATAAATACATTTTTGTAGAGTATGTTTTCTCTGTTTGCAGAATATACAATTAATTAAGGAGAATTATTGCCTAGTAATACTTTTTATGAACATGATTCAATTGTTTATAATAATGTAATACATGCATATGTCATGTATGACCTGCAGAAAACATGAATCAAGTCTTAGTTTCTTACAATCCCGAGTATGAGTCGCTGTATAGAAACCTAGTTCTATTTTACACTCGTGGATAGATTTGCAAACCACCAAATAACTATTGCCAACCCTTAATACTTTGAATACCGCCGCAGTTGCGTCTTTGGCAATAAATGCAACAGTTTTTGAGATCCAATCAAAGGTGCAATTATTTATTTATTTTCATATATGCTATTTTATAATATGCTACTGAGGTATTGATCACAATAAAAAACTGACATCTTTTGTTTGTTTGCTTACCTTCCATTTTTGAACTTTCAGTTTCATTTAAAATTAGTTGAAAATAATTGGTCAGATAATTGAAAGCGTTTACTGCCCCGTGTGGGGTTAACTATGTGTGTGACTTTGATTTGACATTGACATTCAAATTTTTCCTAGACTCATTTTATTTATTTATTGCTGTATTCTGCTCTTCACTTTGCGTTCGCCCCAGTCGAATGTCCACATCCACGCCCACGCTTTTGTCACGCTTCAAAGGTTGCCGGACGCGCGGCGACACCGTTATGGAGAGTAAATACGATTTACTAGGCGATGGGCTTGCTGTGAATTTATCTGTTAATTATATAGATATACAAGTACACGAATATATGTAGAGATGAAATACAAATAAAGAGACGGTAGTCAGTGACGTAGAACATATAATTCGTTGTATCAAGATGTGCGATAGCCGAGTAAACAGTCAGGCTAGACTTAATTAATCTAGCTAAATTATTATTTTTTTTATAAGAATTAATGGACTTGTCTAAGCTTATTTACGTAGGTCATTTTAATAACTAAACTATGCTTCAGCTTGAGAATATATTGATATATATTATGCAGGCAAGCCCAAAAATATTAGTGGAGAGTTTCAAGAGTTGGATGTTTTTAGATCCATTCTCTGATTCTTTATTGTGATACAGAAATTTTAAAGCATTTTTCTTATATTTTTTGCTCTATAATTAAATTTGAAAGTTATTGAATTATGTACAGAGTACTGGGTCCACTTTCAGCTAAGTAAGTTTCGTTTCTGTTTTGCTAGCCTAATTTGTTTTCTATTGTTTTTTTTCTTGAGCAGCCATTCTATAAGCTCCGACAAGTGCCACGCCCACTGAGCGTTCATTAGACAGCTGTGTCATCAGAAAATGAAAGCGTAAAGCATTGCTCATCCGTCGCGTTGCCAACATCTTAGGCATAAGCCGGTAATAAACAAGCAACACGCTTTAAGGATCTCGAGCATTGTGGCAGCTAATGGTATTTCATTTATTATTTAAGAAGTGAAATTCGTGCAGGAATTCGTGTGGCTTGCCGTTGTCATGCATAACATATACGTACATATATGTATGCATAGCATAGACATATACATATGTATACCAAATTTGAGTTATTCCTGTAGTCATACAATAGAGTTTAGCTTTAATGGAAATCAATAATATGGTCTGTTGAGCAGCTGCAGTTGATAATCCGTTACCCATAAATCTGTTTACGCAAGACAATTCAATTCGAGACACATGGGTTCGCAAAGGACATGCAAGTCTCCTGGCGTACAACATATACATATATACATATTTATATTTGTTCTATGTATATATTCTATAGATAATACATTATGTTATCCGCACTTGATAGTGTGCATGTCGTGGTCTGCCCGTTAAACGGACACAAAGAGAGCTTGTGCTAGGTCGCATGTTGTCCCAAACAGCGGCGACCGCTGCGTTGGCCAACAACAAATTCGTCTGGAAACGCACATGCCATGGCTCGCTGCCACCGCAACCACTTTTTGTGCGCTGGGTCTACACCACCCTTGTTGGCCACCTGACTGCGCATCCGTTACATAACCCAAACAGTTCCTGCTTGGCCCACCAAAATTGCGCTCACTCAGCTCGCATTCTCTCTGACCGCCACTCGCTCTCGCTCTCTCTCTCTCGCGCTCTCTGCCTCTGTGTATGTATTTCTCTATGCTCTCCAGCATTTCCATTGAGCGCGAGTGCGTTGAACTTGGCCTCGTTTGAGCTGAGTTGGCTCAAACGTTCGAGTGAATCGAATTTGGCAACCGAAAATTTGTTGGGCTTTTTGTTTGGGGCCCCAGTGCTTCATCCCCTTCAAGTCTGCAAAAATGTCGCCCAGCCACCCAGACTGGTTCCCCGGGGAGGTGTCAAACAAACTGCGTGCGTTAATCTTCTGGGGGCGGCATGTGGCCTGTGGCATGCGGCTAGGCGCACCGTGGGCCTATTTTCCATAATGGATATAGCCCCAAGTACTAACTGGAATAACTAAGAGCTGATCATTTTAAGCATTTGCACCTTGTTTAATTGAAGCTGTAATGCCTGTAAATCTGTGTAGGGAGTGTACTTAGCTCATTTGATTTATTAAGCATCGCAATTTATGCATATTCTCTAAGCCTGATTGAGCCTGTCACCTGAGATGCTCCATTAGGTTTGATGAATTGATTTTCCCAGCATTTTAATTATTCAACTCTCTGTCTCTAGCGACTCTAACTCATCTTCAGACATTTAATTTGTGAATAAAGATACTTAAAGCTGTTAAGCTCAAGGTCTGAGTCCTTGCAACGTTGCCATCCACTGTGCCGTCCGTTAGCAACAAATAAGATGCTCGCCGCATCCACTTGGAAAGCTGAAACTTTGTGCGAAACACACTAACGGTGGACGGCTCGGTTCTTAATTAAGTCAAGATAAATTGGGAAATGAAACTCGAGGATTTATTTGGTTTTTAAAGATCATATTTACTTCAATCACAGCACAGAATACAGAGAAATTTTATTTAATGGTTTCTTTGTAGCTTTGAAAGGAAATACGAAACGAAAAGCAAGAGGAAAAACTATTTGTGGTCTGTCTGTACGTGTGTGTGTGTGTGTGTGTGTATGTGTTGCATATAGTGTAAAAGGAAGAGAAAGACTTTCTCTGATTGCCTGCGTGGGTGCAGTCAAAGCAGGCAGCAGCAGGCGCCGCTGAGTAATTGAAAAATTTATTGATATATTCCTCAGAGGGTAAAGGAAAATGAGAAAAGCAAGCAACAGAGGAAAAGCGAAGCTTAGGGTAGATTTTCATCGGAAATGTGTTTGATATTTAAATACATTAATATTTGTTGACATGTATTTGGAAATGGGAAATCAGGGTATATTGGTTTTTTTTTTGCAATTTTCTGTTGCAATTTATGCGCAATCTCAAAGTTTTAACACACATCTAACATCTATAGTTTGCTTTTATAGTTGTTAATTTGAATAATTGTATATTTCATATATGTATATATATAAATCTATATATTTATATATATAGTATATGTAGATGTATATAAGTTCCATTTATGTATATGTTACGCTTTCTTTTTAAACACAGTTACCGTTGCTAGTTACATTTGACTTGGTTCTACATTTATATCAGGTTCGAAATGATTTATAGTTTCTCTTTTCTTTCAATTTAGTTTTCCTTTCTTTTTGTGGTACAGCAGTTTGAGTTGAGTTTTATGATTGTTGCCAGTTGCAAACTAAAAATATGTATAATAAGCTAATTAAAATATTTAAGAAATAAAAATCATACAATTAATATAAGAATTTACAATTATTGTATTCATATGGAACACCAAACCAATTATAATCTCAAGTGTGGGAAACTTAATCTCTCCATAACAATTTAAGCGAGGAACTAATCAAGCGCCTAATGCACCTATTCGAAGACCCTTACTAAAGCCTATTTAGCATGTCTCTGAAATGCTCGTTATTTTCAGTTTAGGCTAGGAGATTTCTATAAAATATGTGATAAATCAGCCTTCGTCCCATTGACTAAATGTTGCCTGCGCCTCGGCTCTTTGATCTCGTTGCAGCTCCTTCACCATCTTCACTCAGTACTGATAGTTGTGTGGAAAAACGGCGCGAGCGGGCAAATAACAGGGATCGTGCTGGTTGCGATAGCGACGGGCGAGAAAAACAGCCAGGACCTGTGGAAAATTGGTTTAAAAAGACCGAGTTATAAGCTTGACAAAAAAATAAAAAAATTTAAATATAAAAAACTAAGTTATCTTTGGAATGCCAAAGTTTCAATATGCTGTAGAGGCTCATTATACAAAAGTTCTATTCCGAAACAGTTATTCATGTATGAAATATAAAATAACATAATCATTTAATTTACATGTTTCTTAGAACAGTTCAGTAATGAATAAGAGCAAATAAACCCTCAGGTATGACCATTGAAATAAATTTCTTCTGATAATGTCCTCTACAAGTATTTCAACTACAATGAAACAAAATTAGAACTCAAACTCATAATGTATAGGAGATGCATGAATGTCTCACCATATGCGTTAGCCGAACTTATATTCTCTAAGTTATCTAAGTTTACGCCGCCAAAAACTTTGTTAGTGTATAAAGAGTGTGTGTGTGGTGGAAATTTGGATGTTTGTGTATCCATGTTTAGTTCGAAAAACACTTGCGATAATTTGTATATATGTATATATGTATGTATATATAGAAGTATATATGTATATGAAGTATTACTAGAGTTGTAAATGTAAGTATATATGTATGTATGGCCTAATGCATTACGTACTTAGTTTATTAATAATATATTTATATGTATATATGTATCTGTGTTATGCATGTCGTTATGTATGTGTATAAGGTAGAGATGCTTGTATATAAATATAAATATGTGTCTATATTAGGTGTAAGTGTGTCTGTGTATAAGTTAGTTGGCTGTCTGATAGAACAGCTACAAATTTGATCTAAGAGACCCACGATTGTTGCATGAACATGAAATTTACATTTACATTGACATCAACTTTCTAGTGAAGCGACACACGCGATTTGAGCGCTTGTGCGTCTGCACCTAGTATTATTTTAATGAATACATATATTTTTGTATATTTTGTTTTGTTATTGTGTGTGTTTTTTTTTTTTTTAGATTTTATGGGTTAGTTGTGCAATTTAGAGGAAGGCGCTGGGCAAGCCGCGCGGATCCTTTTGATTGCGATAGCGCACTGTTAGCCAAACACCAACGAACTGAATGCATGTCATTGAGAAAATACAATTGCAAGAGATTATAAATTAGACCGAACGTATGATAGCTACGAGTCACACTCACCTCAGTGAAGCTGAAGAAGATGCCCAGACCGCCGCACAATTTAAAAGCATAATCAATTTTACCCTCCAGCAAGGGGCCGCACGGTTCGCAGTGGCATAGCGGATCCTTTGCGTTCACGCAACATTCTCGGTTAATTATCTCACAGCTGGGCTCCTCGTCATCGGTGTTGCTGTTGACGTTGACGACGCTGGTGGTGGGGGTGGTGGCATTGAAGCCGCAGCAGAGGAAACTGTCCTGCACCTGTTTGCGCAACTGAGGTGGCACCGTCTTCCAGCCGTGCTCAGCGAACTGCTGCTGCTGCACCGAATTGACGGCCAGGCACGAGCTGGCAATGGAGAACTGAATGAGGAAGAGCATGAACAAAATGATCATGTACTGAAGAGAGAGAGCATTAGGTTAAGGGCAAAACCAAATCGTGAAACTGTTATCGCAATATTAAAGCAAACGTAAAATCAGTAATCAGTGAATTATGCACAGCCTGGAAGATAAGCTGCAGCTGACGCAATTGCCAAACGTACGGAAGCCAGAGACAAGCTAATTAGTCAAGTTGCTTGATTCACGGCAGCTGCTACGTCACACACATACAGGCCCGCACACACACACAAGCTCATGTTTATGCATGTATTTGAATTGTTGAGGATTTGTTGTGCTGTTAGAACAATGTCAGTCCCATCGACATGCATTGACCTTCAGCTTTGTGGTTGTCGGAGCACACTGCATACATCCTGCACATTCGCATACACACTCATAGTTCTTATTGTTGGTAAAAAGGATACGAAGAAGAGCATCACTTGATGATGCTTGACGGCGCCAGCAAGGCCCAGCATAGATATGCAGATGAGTATAACGCCGCAGGCGAGGATTCCTCCAACGATTGGCAGATTTGTGACTACGGAGGCCGCCCGAGCATAGACCCCAACGCCAATTAGCAAGAAACCAATCATCTGTACACAAATTATGGGAAAAAAATATTACAGTTGCAGCATAGAGACTCAAAAATGTTTTTTTTTCCTGCGTAAGGAATGCAAAGTTTAATTTTGTTATTCCTGCTGCTTACCACATATAGGATGTTAAGCGCAATAAGCGCATTTTTCGAGCAGGTAAAGCCCCCACACATTTTGTTTTGCTTGTTAATTTATATTTTATGTTTAATTCTTAAATATTAAAAAAAATTGCTGGTGTTTTCTGTTTGCTATGGCGCAGGTTTCACTTTCACTGTAATACACATACAAAATACACTAAATAATGCGCAGCAGCTATTTGAAAAATGTACTAAATATTGCCAGACATGTGAACCAGGAAGAGATAAGTATATCAGGTGAGAGAGACACTTGGGAAGTGCACACTATGTTTTGAAGATCTGGCAACACTGCTGCTGTGAATTTGAAATCGGTATGGGACGCCATTTTAGCTCAAATTCTATTTCGTGTTGATTAAATATAACGCGTCCAATTTACTTTCGTCAAATATGATTATTATTTAAATGATAAATAGTTCCATACAATGCCTTTCAGAGTATTCCTATATACTGGTAGTCGAAGCTTTGTTGGCAGCGCTATAATTGGTAGTTGGCAACATTAAACTTTAGCAAATATCCAAACCAGAGATTGATACTAATATATTTTTTTCCTTTATGAATGAATTTAGGAAAAGTTTTGAATTGCATTGCAATAAATGTACATATGTATGTAGATAAATCAAATCAAATCGTTAATATTTATCGTAATTGACATGTGTTCATTTTTTGTCGCGCGTCAGAGTGTCAATACAACAGAACACAGGAACAACTATTTCAAGCGATGGCGAACAAGTGCCGTTAATTGCATTTTTATGCAACGTAAAATTCCTGAAGTACCTGCAACGGCAACAGGCAACAGGCTAAAGGCAACAGGCGGTAGGCAAAGTCAAAACAACTTCATTGCGTGTTGTCTTGGCACAAGTTATTGGCCTAGGACCTCCAAGCTGGCAATATTTGGCAAACAACAACGGCGTACATAAATTTATGGTCAAACGATAAGCGCCGGCCGGCCAAACCATTTGGCTGCTGCCCAAAATTGGACAAGGAACGCGCGTCTCGCGCTCTTAAAGCTAAATTTAGTAGCTGTCAAAGCCATCAGCTGGTGCCGGGCAACACCTACAGCCTTAGCACGCAAGGAATGCCACAGGTGAATGGACAAACCCAATAGTGCAGCCACAGCCATTCAAAATTTCCGCTAAATCCTCAACCATTCAATTTCCGCTAAATCTGGCATTCGATAAAAACAAAATGGCGTGCAGTGTAAATGAAAGTTTCCTTTGGAAATGTTAGCTTTAAAAGCAGGTATTGAGTTGCGTATTATGGTTTCCGTCAAATTAGGATACAAATAAGAGTGAATATATTTATGGAAGGTATTTTCGGGCATTTTAGCTGAACTTATTTTTAGTTAATAATTTTTAAACTGTTATCAGATACTCAAAAGCTTAATGGTTTTTTATAGATATTTTATATATTTATATATTTAGGTAGCCTTTTTAGCTTCACCATAAAAGCTGGCATCACTAAAGCACGCGCACGCATACACACACACATACAGACGCCCACATGCAGCTGAGGCGAAGCATCTCCATCTGAGCTTTGCGTGCAATTGGGGAAAATGCAGAGTCGCCTGACTGTTTGGTCTGGCCTGTGACTTTATAAGGCTGCTGCCTGTCGGCCTGTCAGTTGTTTTTAGCCCGGCTCATTGGCAGCTTTATTGGTAGCTGGCTGTATGTGTGTGGCCACTGGCCGCTGGGCATGACAACCAGGTACAATAAATGCGAAAAGCGAAATGCGAAATGCAAGATCCCGGCCCGGCTGGCCTGTGCATACCAATCATAAAAATGCGCCCAGAACTCGAATGTGGCATACTCGTAAATATGAATCGCAATGCAAGTGCAGGCGGCGACCGTGGGGCTGGCAGGCGTTCAAGCTCGTTAGTCTTGTGGTGCGAAGATGCAAAACGCTTTGGCTGCGACTGCAACTGCAACACTAACTGCTCCTAACTGTCCTAACAAGATGGCAACACATGAAATTAGACTGCCCCGATGCACGTCCGCCGATAGAACTGATCGTGCCCAGCTGAATGCAACAACAACAGCAACAAGCAACTGGCAACGGGCAACAACAACAACAACAACGTCAGCAACATTGCTAAACTAATTAACATATTCAAATATTTGTCGCATTGTTTTGGGCCGGCATCAAGCTTCTCGCTCGGCACCAGCTTGCCAAGCGTTCTGTGGGTCTGTTTATTGAAAAACCATTTTACGGTTTCATGCTTGGCAGTCATTGCGGCAAAATGCCGCATAACGCCCTGGCCACGCCCCTCCCGCGCCTGAGTGTGATACGATGCGATGCGAGCGCATTGTGCAGAGCATCTTCGTTTGGCTTTTGCTTTTGCGCCCGTTGGCGCTATTTTTATCGCATTTTAAATGGCTATTTGTAGTTGTTCCACCAGGAAGTGGCATAAATTCGCAGCGCATAATGGCTGTGAATAAATTATTTTTCTGGCTAGCTGCCTGACTGCCTCACTGCCTGGCTCTGCCTCTGCCTGGCTAGCTGGCTAGCTGGCTGCAGCTTCCTCGCGCCGTTTGATGCTGATAAGCGGCCTCCAGACGCTCCTCTATTGCGTTGTTCAATGAAATAAAAACGCAGCCAAAGAACAATGCACTGGTTACGTAATCACTTACTGCGATTGTTGTCCTGAACCCGAGCCCCTGGACCTGAACCTGAACGTGGCCCGGCTGCCCTGCACCAGAGCCTCTTCGGCAAAGGAAGACCCAGCCAGCGGCCTTCCTTGTGCAGCCAAACAATTTTCACGCACGCCCTCAATGAAGCCACGAGGAAGATCCCAGGCCTGGCCAGGCCCAAATTGAATACGCAGCAAACCAAAAGGTCGCACAGTTGCCAACTGTTGCTGCCCAGATCTGGCAGCGGAAGTCGCTCTGCCCAGGGTTGCAGCAAGATGTTGCATGCCCCAGCGCAAAAACAAAAGACCCAATCAATGGCCTTAAGAAACAAATGCAATTATTCATTAACTGTAAAAGCTTTGAGATTTATTAAAGCAATGCCGTTGGAAATTATTTCCTAAATAGATCTATTATTATTATTTATGATTCCTTTTTTTTTTTATAAATGCAATTTGGAAGAGCAATGCTGACAACATAATATCACATCCGTTGGAGGTTAACGAACAGGACTTTGGTATTATCTTATCTTATTATTACCTTGAAGTTTGGGAACAACTCTATAAGTAACCTGAAGATTCTTTTATTATCTTTTATTTATCTTTAAAATTAAATACTTAATAATAATGCTACTAAATATAATAGAATAAAACACTATAAAAAAGTGAACTTTAATATAAATTTATATATATATAATTTATACATCTATATACACACTAAAAAAATAAATAAATAAGAAAAAATAAATAAAACAAAATAAATTTTTGTAAAATAAAGTAAAATAAAAATATTTAATAACAACAATGATAAATTTGATATGAGAAAAAAGGAAAAACATACAAATGGAGGAGATAAAACTTATTCTATAAGAAAAGAATATTTGATATATGATTTCAAAATAAATGTTTTATTAACAGTTATTTTTACCCATAAATTACCCAATTGGAATTATGTGGAACTGTAAAAAACCATTTGCATGGTCAGTTGTGGTGGAGACTCGTGATAAGGATTTTCCCACACTGTTGTCCTGTAAATTAAGACTTCAAATTCTTGGGCCGTGTAGCACTGGTGCTTGCCTAATCTGCTGCCAATGGAATTTGAAGATCAATTTTGGCTAAAACCGCAATGGCCAACACCAGTACAAACTGCAGGCTAACTGAACCTGAACTATTTTACAATTTCTAATGGTTTTCCAACTGCTTTCGCGCTCTGCAACGGTTTTATCTGTCTGCCAGTTTGGCTGGCTGGCTCTGGCCACTGCCACTGCCATTGCCACTGACTCTGACTCTGACTATGGCTGTGGCTGGGGCTTTGGCTATGGCCCTGCCTGGTCAATGTCCTTTGGTGTGGTGGGCCTTGCATGCGCATTGCGCGCACGACGCGTCAACAGATGTTATCCCCACTAGGCAGTGACCCCGGCAGGGCCATAAATTCTCACAGCGCTGCGCCTGCGCACAGCTTCTACAAAATGTTCCAATTTGTATTTTTGCAACAAATTGTTGTTGCTGCCGCTGCTGCTGCCGGTTGCCGGTTGCCGGTTGGCAGTTGCCAGTTGCCGTTGCACGTTGCACGTTGCTGCGTTGCTGCAACTTTGCCCCCCATTTTGGCCTGGCTCGGTCGGTTGGGTTCGAGCTGCATTTAATTTAATTTGGCCTGCCCAATTGGGCAGCGCTGCAATTAGAGACAAATGTTTTGGTTGCATTCCTTGAGCCTATTTAAACCCCATGTTCAAGGCAATTAGTTTGGCCCAGCCCCAAGGCGAAAGTAATCAGGGGCGTTGCAGGGGCGGCATGTGGGGTGGCGACGGCTCCGGAGTCGATTTCCCACACGTTTGTTTGCTTAATTAGGTGAAAACTGGCTAACAGCTGTCGGCAATGTTGCCGCTGCCGCTGCCATTGCCATTGCCATTGCCATCGCCATCGCCATTGCCGTTGCCCATGGGCCAAAAGACACCGCTGCCTGGTTTGCTAATGAGCAGGACAAGCTGGCGAAAAGAAAAGTAAGCAGGCTCGGCGTCGCTTTCAGGTTGCCAAAATGGAAAACGTTTTTCGTTTTGAAGTGCTAAAATTCCTAGATACCAACCGCTCAACCAATACCCTGCACCCAAAGGGTAGCATCCGCCTGTCATCGAGCTCGTTAGACGGAGGAAAGGAAAGAAGCAGCTGTGGGTGAATTGCGAAATAAACCAAACTAGCTGGCAGAGAGGATTATATCAAAACTGAAATTTAGAAAATTAAAAAATTAAATAAATAAATTTAACAATATAAAATACAATATTAATATAATATAAATAAAATAAAATACAAACTAAATTTGTATTAACTTTTTAACTACAAACAAAATTAAGTAAAAATTGTTTAGTTTTTTGACTTCGTTCCCCTTTTCTTTCAGTGTATTGCTGGCGTAAAATATGATTGGCCACAAGCAAATGTAGCCCGAATAAATTTCGGTTTCGCCTACATAACATAGTTATATCCCCTATATATATGCATCTATGCCAGATTGGGCAAATAAGGTTCGGTGTGCCGATTGAGCGAAATTTCACTGTTGGTCTTTCTTAGCATTTGGCATTTGACATTGCCCATCGTCATGGCAAGTGCATAATTTTTCAATCAATGCGAGCAGCTGTAAACAAACGGCAAACTGTGAAGAAGCCAAAAAAAAAAAAACAAAAAAATGCTCAAAAAAAAAAAAAAAAGAAATAGAGAAACAAAACGAGGAAAAACAACAGGCGGCCTGGCCAAGAAATCGTGATGTGGCCAACATGGCAAGCGCTGGCGGATGCGCTCTCAGGAAGCGCTGTGCAACAAAATCAGCTCCGTCAAAAACATTTAAATGCAAATGCAAATGGCCATAAAGCGTGAGGGTGTTCAATGCGAGCTTTATGCAGCGATGTGGGCCAAAAGGCGAGCAAAACGTTTGTCAATGCAACTCGAGCCGAGTGTCAAGAAGTGTGGGTGTTGCTGGCCAACCTCCGACGCTATTGTGTTTAGAAAGCCAGTCCTGGCCGCCGAGCACTCGCCAGCCGAGGGCGACAGGCCACACCGCTAATTAAAAGACATTGCTAAATGACAAAGACTTAATGGCCAGGTATTTGCATAGCTGTCAGCGCTAATGCCCACACTTGGCCACGTCGTGCAGCTGTCCGCCACATGCGGTGACGCACACACATAGACACACGCTATAGCAACATGGCTCCATGGCTCTATGGCTGCATGCGAAGGCCAAATACGCATCAGAGCTGGCCATAAAAATTGTCAACGCTCGACGCGTTGCTGATGCTTTTTTAATAGGGGCGTTTTATTCAAGCCAACGCACGTTGCTCGCTGCAAACACATGCGTTGTAGCACCTACTTGGACACGCTTTCGGCTCCCGTCTCCGCCAGTCTGTTGCTGACGATGTCTTTATTTAGCGCTGAGAGCGTTGCGGCACGCGTCTCAACTATTCGCACAGATCGTTGTGCGCTGTGTGTTTGATTAATGGATGCCGCCTCACCTTCAGCCAGCTTCTGCTTCATCTCCAGCCTCATACGCACCTCACTGTCTCAGTTTCAGTTTCAATTTCAGTTTGAGTTTGAGTTTCTTTCAAGTTCACTCTGAATTTTTGATCAGCTGCCGCAGTGCGCCTTTTCAGCTCAGCCTCTCTCAGGTTTTTTTTTTTAATGGCGTGCGTAGCTGGAGCGTTAAAGAGATCATAAAACGGTTCGCTTAACTTGTGTCTATGTTTCATAATTTGATTAACACTTTAGTCGACGTATGTGTGTGTGTGTGCGTGTAGGCGTGTGCCTGAATGCTCACAGTGCCGTGAAATTATTGTAATTTGTTGGCATTTTAGCATTTCACTTAGCCCTGCTAACGCATTTGTCATATATCAAGCTCAACTGCTTTGACAAACAAAACTTGGGGCAATTGCTAACGAGGCAGCTGCCTCGTTGCCTACGGTCTTCCCTCTTCGGTCTTCGGTAGGGTCGCTACCGTCTGCACTCTGTCAATCCATCAATGCCTATAATGACAAACCAGCAGCAGCACCAACAGCAATAACTAAATCACTTAATAAATTTATTAGCTAGCTACTGCATGTTAATTGAGATGACTCGTGCTTTGAAGCTAAATGAAATTCCACAAAGAGGGAAACAACATTTATCATTATGAATATGTCAAATAGAGACATACATAAATACAAAATGAAAAGTATAAATGAAACTTTCTATTAGAGATGTCTAGCTATATGTATAAGTATATCTATCTATATCAATAAAATATCTGCTATTGAGTTACCATATTTAAAAAATATATATATACTTTAACCAATATACCATTTGACGGCACATCATTGTTAATCTTTATAAATTTCCCAACCATTAAATAAAAACACATTTATCATTTATAGATGGTTTATAGAGTTTATTATGTGTAGAGTTCGTTTTCATTGCATTACTTAATCAGTACAATTTGTTTAGCAAAAGTGTATAATTATTCATGTGTATGAATGGTTCTCTTTAAAATTACGATCCTTAAACTTTAGCCTTTACTTGCTGATGTCTTGCTGTGATGTGTAGTCCCATGCTAAGCACCCAAATAACTTAGCACCTCTCTGTGGCTCGGCAATAAATTAGCAATTAGCAATTAGCAATAAATAAATTAGCAATAAATAGTAAGTTAAGTACAATAAATATAGTTGATTCGAGAGGTTTGAAGCGCTGCCGAATTGCAAGAAATTTGACACAAACATTTTGATACAAAATTATTTGGCAAATCTGCTGGAAATGTTGTGGCTGCGCCTCCTAATAAACGTATAAAGCCGCTCGAAGCATCAATAAACAATACAATCAATAAATAAAATAGTGGGATAATAGTTATAAATGCACTTCAATGTTTGCCTCAGTTATAGACTTAGACTTTAGATACTCGCATGCCAGAGATTTACACTACACACAGATATAAATATTTTAAGCTTCTTGATTAAAAAAAAATTAGCCTAATTTGCGCTAGAGTGAAAAATTTCTAAACATTTTCTACAATTTTTCTTGCTAAATAATTTTTTTTTTTTTTTTTTAGTGAATGCGCAGTTTTAAAATGCTGGAATACAGATATATATATATATAGATATTTTTTTTTATATTTATATAGATATATTCTCCAGGGCATTTGAAAGCGCGCATTCGAATTGCAATCGTCTCCATACGTGATTTTCTTTTTCTCGATAAAATTACGTATTAACTAAATTAGCTTATGCTAGTTTTTCGTTTCTTATTCTTTTCTCCTTTTCTTGTTTTATGTAGAATTAAACTATGAATTTTTCAAATGATTTGCATGCATCGCTGCTTGGCGAACATTGATATATGTATGTATATGTGCTATTCAAGTCTCATCGAATCTTTTGAAGCTTTCGAGGCATATTGCGTTTGTTCCCAGCTAACTGTGAGAGCTATCCGATACCCGGCTTAGTACTGCTGACCGTAGCGTCCGTTTATGCCGCTGTCGTACAGCTTGCTCAGCGTGTCCTTGGCGCTGTTCGCATGCGACGCGCCGGCCATGCTGCCCGCGGCTGAGGGGGGCGGGCCATACAGTATTGTGGGCGCACCGTATGTGATGGTGGGCGTGGGGTCCTGCTGGTACAGATAGCGCTCCTTGCGTGTGCGTCGCTGCACGGTCTTCCAAATGCCAAAGATGCTCAGCTGAGCGAGCAGAAACAGCGAGCCGGCAAAGATCAGACCTGTAAAGAGACGGCGAAGCAGAGGTCGAAAGAGATTAGAACATGAAACTAGATTTGGATTAACGGCATGCTTATCAAAACAGGAAAACCAGAAAGATAGAAGAGCGAATGGCCGATAATGAGGAACCTGTGCAGCAACAAGGAAGCGAACAACGAAACCAACTTACTTAGTTATCAAAGAAAACAAAAGTGTATGCCGCTTGACCCAGTTAACTCGCTCCAGTTGCCTTGGGGCTAAACCAATGACCGACCAAGTGACCAACTTTGATGCCAACAAGTTGAAGATCAAAAGCAACAACAGCAACAACAACAACAATAGCTACAACCACAATACAATGAGAAAATAAAGCAGCGACAATTTAGTGCATGAGTTGCATATTTCTCTCCCATATATACAAGTATATATGTACGTATATATATAGACACATACATATATATAAATATAAAATTTTTTTATTTCAACTTTTTGGTTTCGAGTCGATCTTCACTTTTTATGCTCCTACACGCGGGGCATGCACTTGGTTCTACACTCAACTGTGTGCAACATGCCACATAAATAAGCCGCCAACGAGAGACCGGAGATGGTAGATTGGAGTTAAAAACCAACGGCCAATGGACAGAGGAAATTCGAAATGCCAATGCCAATGGTAGAAATCGGGTGAAAGTGCCGCCAAAGTGCAGAGCAAACCGTTCGCTTAGCTCGCTCGCATGCGTTGTCGTCCAGTTCACGAATTTTTCAGAATTTAAGAGCAACTACGATCATGATGATGATGATGACGATGATGATGATGGCTTGGCTGATGACTATCACAGATTATAGCTTACATATGCATTCTGTTTTGTTGTTATTGTTGCTGTTGCTGTTGTACATCAAATGGCCATAAAAAGTAAGCGCCGACGGCTTAAAACCAACAAACAACCAAAACTAACCCAAACTTACAAGAGCAACAACAAATAGCAACGTTGTTTTGGTTGTTGTTGTGGCTGCTGCTGTTGTTGTTGGTGTCGTGGTCGTCATCGTTGTCGTGGTCTGTTGGCAATGACTTTAACGAGTTTCAATAACAAAGCGCACGCACTTGAGCTTTTATTTATGTGCTTGGCTTGCCTTTTATCTGTTTGTCTATCTGTCTCGCTCTCCCTTACTCTCTCAGCCCTCATGGGCTGCGTCTCTTTTTGGCTGACGGTGCGTATGACCCGCACAACAACAAAATACATGAAATTATTACAATTATGATAAACGCTGAGGGGGCACCCGCAACGGCAATCAAATGGTAAACAATTTCAAAATAGACTCAAAATCGACGAACAATAGCAATAAATACAAACAACAACATAGAACAATGAGCAGCATTAGCACGTAGTTGCAATTGTGGTTGTTGTTGTTGCTGTTGTTGCTGTTCGTGTTGCTGTTGCGTTTTATCTTCTTCTTCTTGTTATTGGCTTTTAACACTATGGGAACCAGTGCACAAATCGGATGTGCATCATGTTGCATCTAAGATGAAAGCGAGTAAAACTTGATTGGGCACACATTGAGGAGCCGAACACATTAGATATTATTCGATGTGAAAGTGAATGAAACTGAACAGGAAAAGGGACATTAAATGAAAGTGATCTAATGCGATCTAATGCATTGCATTGTCTGAAATTAGAACAGACTCTATGATGATTTGATGATGAGTATATTAAAAGTGATCTGTATAATGATTCGCATTATTGAGGAGGGAATTGTAAGCACCAAGAAATTTGCGCAATTAACAAAATATCTCATAATTTGTTAAACATATTAATTGGCTTTCCACTAATTTCGTTTATGCCTTTTGGCATGTGTATAAGATATAATGATCAACTTTCTAAACACCAATTTGAAATTCGTCTTTCTTTTGTTAATTAATTACTTAAGAAAGCAGCTGCATAATATTCATAACTGTTTCAGAATTTGTGGAGCTTCAGAGCGATTGGCTGGTGCCACATCAACCCTAATTAAATGTAATAACTTAAACAAAACAAATTTCAGGAAGATAATTGACGTGTTCTATAAACTTCAAATTGCAGTCTTGGAAATTGATCAGTTTAGGCTTATGGCTGAGATTATAGTTATGGGCAGTTAGATTACAGGCAACAATGCTGCCATAGAGTTATGAAAAAATGCATAATTCAAATAAATTTGTATAAATTATGGAGATAGAGCTGGAGCTGGAGCTGGAGCTGGGGCTTTGCCGCTAGATTGATTGCCACATGCCACATGCCACACGCACCGGACTGATGCGCGCTCAGCTCACGCTCTGTTCCTCCAGCTTCCATGTGTGTGGCAAATGAGCTTTAACTGAGGAGAAAACCGTTGCTCTAATTGCGGCCAATGAGCTCGACGCGCTTCGCTTTGCGGTGCAGCGCGTAATTGCAACAGAAATTGATGTGGCTGCCGCTGCTGCTGCTGTATCTGGGGACCAAATGAACCTGGATCAGCCGTAGCCGCAGCAGCAGCAGCAGCAGCAGCCGCTGCTGGACCTGCAGCTGCCGGCTAACAAGCTGTAAATTTAACGCTTCAACGCTGCATTTGTTAATAATGCGCCATGTCGAACGCGCATGGTAATTGCTCTACAAAGCTCCACAATGACAACTGCCGCAGCTTGTGGCCAAGGGGGCGGCGGAGGCGAGGGGCTTGGCTAACTGTGCAAAGTTTTCGCGCCGCACGAAAATGAGGCGTGCAGTAATGCAGCAGCAGCAGCAGCAGCAGCAGCTGCAGCCACAGCAGCATCTCATCCTGCACAGCTGCTGGCGCGGCACATCTTATTGAACTAGTGACCTGGTCGTGAGTCGGCGTCAGCAACAGCAACAACAACAACAACAGCAACAGTAAGAGCAACAACATCAGCATCAGCATCGGCATTAGCATCTGCATCTGCATCATAACTGGCTGGCAGAGTGCGGTACACATTCTGGACATGAGCCACATAGCTGAAGAATCCAATTTATTTCTCATGCAGTCAGTCGTCAGTGGCAATGATGAAAAATTGATTCATTATCAAAATTAGCGAGCAGCCAACAATGGGCAAAACAAGCCGCTGGCTCACGACGCAGCAGGCAACTGGCAGGCGGACAGATGGCTGCTGGCTGGGTTAGCGCAACGCATTCGCATCCTCAGTTGCAGCCATCCGCCACCCGCTGGCTGCGGCAACACGACGTCAACAACGTTCTCCGCCTTGTCTATGCAAATCAGCGTGCTGCAGCAGCAGCAGCAGGAGCAGGAGCAGCAGGAGCAGCAGCAGCATCAACTTTGAATGTTTTGATTCGCTCTTGATTGGGCATTTTCACAGAGGAAGCCAAACTTACCATAGCCATTAAGACAAGTGAGCTTGTCCTGGGCAACGCCCGCGTAGGCCTTCTCGTTGGGCTCGCCAGAGCTCTGGCTGGCGTCGCTACCGTCCTCGGCCTGGAAGCCAAACTTGTCTATGATTTGTATGGACTGCACGAGCAGTATGTTATCATCGGCCGGGGTTGAGCCGACATCGCGGCGTTCGCGTTGCTGGCGTGTGCTGACCATGAACTCGACTGTGAATTTGCAGGCAGTTAGCAGCGTAATGAGCCACGGCCAGAAGCCGAAATTCAGTCAATACTTACCACCATCGGTGCCATTCACAACGGAGCGCTTCCTGCGGCCATAGGAGACGAGCGACTTCAGCTCGCCGCTGGCGCCATCCTCGCTATCGCAAATGACGGGCTCGCAGCGTGGAATGCAGGGCGTTACGAGGGCGCGGAACTGTACCACCTCGCTGGATGGGAACTTGAATGCATCGAACTGGGAGAGCAGCACCTTGCGATTGTGCGAGAGCTTCTGTATGGTGCCCATGATGTATTGATCGGTGGGGCAGCCATTAGCATCAATCAGCGTAATCTCAGCGCTGTCCGAGCCGTCCATGGCGACCAGTTCGCGCACAAATATCTCATACGGACTGTTCTGCTCAACGATCTCGAAACGCAGTGCCAGGGGATCACCGACCTCGGCGATGCGCTTCATGTCGCTGCCATCGCGTGACGTGATCTTCATGACGACATTCGGTGAATCGATGGTTATCTCCTCGCTAAGCGACGACTCGATCTCGCCAGTGACGCCCAAGTCCACGTCGTTCAGCACCGTCTTGTTGGTCAGATCGTACTGACAGCTGACAGCCAGACCCAGATCGGAGGAGGTGACAATCATTGAGTGATGCTGTATAACAATATCGTTCATATAGCGACCATAGGCGCTCTGGCGCACATTGCACTCTAGATCATTGTAGCCCATACGGAAATCGAACTCTAGCGATTTGTCAACGCTCACTGAGCACGACTTGGGTGCCCCCTTGGCGTAGACCTTGCCGTCGAAGAGCTTGGAGGTGCGTATCTTTGTGATCATCTCGCCGGAACGGCACTCGATAGACACATTGTAGCAGGCGGACAGCTCATAGGTGGCTGCCTCGGGCACATCCAGATAGGGATCCATCACATCCGTCAGCGTGGCGCGGCTGTGATGCGACAGACGGCAGACCATGTCGCCAGTGTCATTGTAGTCATACGAGTGGCATCTGTCGAAGTGGCAACTGTGAGAACTATTCATTGGCTCGCTAAGTGCGATGGCATTACCTGTAGGGCGAGTTGAGGCACAGATCGCGACATTCATCAATGGTGTTAATGTCCTGATAAACGGAATCCACTGTCTTCAGAATCTTGCCCGAGATGCGCTTGAATTCGCATAGCTTGCTGGGCTCCTCGGCGCAATTATTCTCCAGATAATCGGCGCCTTCATAGGCCTCCACGCTGTTGCCGGCCGATAGCGTGATGCGATCCATGTCTGAGAGCTCACACAGTCCCGAGTGGCGATAGAAGTTCGCCGAGCTGCACAAGGCAAGAGTTATGAGCGGCAGAGATGTGCGCATTGTGACAGGCAGTAGAATAGGTTGAAGGTTTTTTGTTCAGAAAGGCGGAGATAAAGAAAGAATGTGAAGATATAGCATTAGGTACAGCGTGTAGAATAGAGCAACATAGATAGCTATCGAAGCAAGGGAAGATTTATCTGTAAGCTGTAGTTATATGTGCTAGGTTATAATGCGGCTGCTGCTATGGAATTAATTCGCTAAGATATGTGATTTGATGCAATTTGTTTTATCTGATGCGAAGAACTTGCGTTCTATTAGTATTCTAATAGTTTCCTTATTTGTTTTCACGCAAACTGAGGGCCTTACAGGGTTTCTCTCCCAGCTTTTTGATTACTGGGGAGTTTCTTAAACTGGTTCATTTGAATATGCAAGTGTTTCTTCTTTGAGCTAAATATAGATTATTATCTTTCAATTTCATCTTGACACTGTAATCTATTCAAGGCCAGGGATAGTGTGAAACCAGTTCTTCTTATCTTAATGCTCTGTACAATTTACGCTCAAGTCATCTCTATTGCAGCGAAACGAGATACACTAGACATAATCTCAAAAGAGAATCTAACACTATTTAGCTAACTCTTCTAGTCATCTTTGTTGTGTATCGGAAATCAATGCGCTGCTATCTGCAATGAACCAGTTCTCGGATTTGTAGGTGTCCGTTTAGCAGCCTAGTTACACCTATCGCATACCATGTTTCCTCATAAACATAACTGGATGAACTTGTATGGTTGATTATGCAATGGTTAGCCGAACAGCTGATGGCTCATCTTCGGGCTGACTTACCGGCATGTAAATTCCGTTTCGCCCAGGCAGAGCTCCAAGCAGTCGCGGCGCGACAGCACCGTCTGACTAGATTTGACATGTTCGGGTAGGCGGTAACCTTGAACGCGATCAATGCACCAGGCCTTGGAGCAAGGACGCACGCCCAAACACGATTTCTGTGCGTAGATCGTGAAAACCGGAAATTGTGAGCGCGAAAGTGAACCTGCAAAAGAGACAAGCCAAAAGCATTAAACGGTGTTAGTAGTGTGTGCGTGTGTGGTGCTGGTGGTGCGTGTGGTGCGTGCGATGCGTTTTACGCACACGCCCCTTCACTACAAAGTAACAGGCGTTGAGAAACGCAGCAGCAGCAAATGCAACGGCAATGGCAACGGCAACGGCAACGACAACTGCAACGGCAACAGCAACGGCAACAGCAACAGCGACAAGGCTGGCCTGAAATTATGCGTTAGCGCAACGCCAATGCCAAAAGCCAGTTTGCAGAATAGGCAAAATCTAGTTTGCTTGGGCCCAGGCCAACTTGGAGCCGCCGTCTGTCCTCGTCTGTCGCTTGCCCCGCCTGTTTGCCTGCCTGCCTGCCTGCCGAATCATGCGTAAAACCAAAGGCGTGTTTCGCACTGACGCTGACGCTGACGCTGGTGATTTATGCGCCAGCGGCTTGGCCACCACGAACTAGAACTCAATAATTGAATGAACGAGCGGCCAACAAAATTATTGAACTTTCTTTGGCACACAAAACGGCAGCTGCAACGGCAACAGTTGTGCGGGCACAGAGTCAGCAGCAGCTTCAGATTCTCACACTTTCTAACTCACCTGGCAATTTATCGGCGGTCGTCTTGAACAGCACACACAAGCCGGTTTCATAGTTGACAGAACTGCAGGACTCATTGCTCTGGCAGGCCTCCAAGCAGTCCGTGAGCATCAGCGTGCCGGGCAGGGTATCCAGCATCTTCGACGGTGCCGACAACACGTAGCTACAAGACACAGAAACAACAACACGATTTTATTTCACTTTTTTTTTTACGTTTTTCATTAAGCCTGAAATGAAATTATGGTGTAACTACGAGCCAAGCAGGTGAGGAAAGCGACAACTGAATCACAAACAAGATTAACATCCATCTGTATTGTAATGTCTTCTTTATACCCTACACTAATCAAACTATGCCATAGTTTATGGTTCACTAAGTATCCAAGGTGTGAACATTAATTTAAATCGATTAATCCATAAATTCGTCTAATCCAATTTGATTAGTCAATAACAGGTTGTGCGTGGCGAAAAGAAAACCGAAAGTGTAGCCAAATGTAACGTCATGGTGCCCCCGCATAACTGGCTCATGAGCTGGCCCCTAAACAAAAGACTCAGGCAACGAACTTGCCGCTGTCAGCGCCAGCCGCGGCCCCGACGAAAGAAAGCTCATAAGCAGCTGATGTCGGCGAGCTCTTGTGTGCTTTGTGTGTTTTGTGTGTTGCCTGACATCAAAACACACCATGCGATTAGATAAGCCTCGTTTCGCCGTCATGGCACGCCCCCCGGTCGGCCCCCCCACCTACTTGAAGCCAAACAGCATTAGCACTGGCCGCCGTTGAGCTTCAGTTCTATGCAAATTGGCTAATTGACCGAAAGCCCCAGACTTGAATAGGGTTTATTAGCATCGCCGGACCCCCGATTGCCATATAAATAAATGTGAAAAGTAATGCAAATAGGGTTTGGGAAAGTCTTGGCATGTTTGGGCTTATGACACTTACCCGGTAATTATCTCGAAGCCAATCATATCTGGATCGCACTCCTCTTCCGTTTCGGGCGCCTTGTCTGTCTTGGGCTCCGGCTGTGCATCAGTTTGTGGCAGCAGCGGCTTGGGCAGCTCGCTGTTGCTAATCGCGCTGTTGGTGCTGCTGGCCAGTGGGGCTGCGGCTGCGGCTGGGGCTGGGGCCGCCTCGGCGCTCAGTTCGCTCGTGCTGCTTGTTGTTGTCGAGGTGGAGCTGCTGCTGCTGGTGCTGCTGCTCGTTGTGGCAGCCAATGCTGCAGGCGGTGGCGTCACATTGGTGCGTGGAATTGTCTGCTTGGCCGGCTTGACAGGACGCTTCGTTTTGCGCACGGCGTTGGCGTCACTCGCAATTAGGCAGAGCAACAACAGAAAAGTGCAGCGGCGTAGAAACATTTTGCCTGGAAGAGAGCCAACAAAAGTGGAGAGCAAAGCGGATTAGTTGGCTGGCTGGCTGGCTGGTTGGGGAGGGGCCAATTGGCAAAATGTTAATTAGACTAACTAATTTCACGTTACGCGTAATTTATGTAATTCCTGTTGTGCATTTTATTAGTTGTTGCATATTAGGCAGCTACGCGGCATGCCGCATGCGGTGCACAAGACCACCAACAACAACAACAACGACAACAACAACGACAACAATGCTGGGCAAACGGCACTTTTTCTGATTTTATTTTACTTATATTTCTATTTCTATTTCATTTTGTTGCTCCTCCTGCCTGTCTCCGGCACATGTTGCACGTAGAGCGAGCGAGTGTGTGCAGGCATTAATTGCTTGGCTTGTAAGGTCTTACAGAGTTTAATTAAAGCAACAGCTGGCTAGCAATGTTTGTGCTTGTTATTGTACAACAATAAAAAGAAATGTTTAAGGCCGCCGCCACCGCCGCCGTTGCCGCGGGCAAGTTGAAATGTGTGAAATGTGTTGACGCCTGGGAAAGGCTGAGAATCGCTTTGACCCGCAACGAGAGCATCGAGCGCACGCGGGGGAGTCTGCGTGTAGGCGTTCGGAAATGATATCAAGCTGTGAGACACAATTTTCACCCGCCACAAATCCAAAACATTTTACGACTATATAAAACGCATTCCGCAACACACTGAATGCACCGGAAGATTTCTAATAAAAAACGATTCTTAAACTGGAGCTGCACTGGGTTCTTCAGCTATTCAGTTGCTGGCGGCTTTCTCGCTTATGCAAGTGCTCATTAAAGCGCTGACAATCCACAATTTTTTGTTGTCTTTTATTGTTTTTATGACTGTCGTTAGCTTTGGCAAATTTCAGCTGCGTGAAAGTGAAAAGTTTGCTCTGATTGCTTGAAGCATGTATATTCATGCACGTTGTTAAACCTTGGAATGTCTTTAGTTTTATGGCCAGTGCTCACCTAACGGCCAGCTGTACATGTGTGTGTGACTGTGTGTGTGTGAGTTAAGTGAAAAACAAAGAGCCACAAAAAAATAGTTGAGTAAGGCGCACCGGCAGCAGCAGCTGTGAGATAATCTCTGCTCATTATTTGCAACAGGCAATCGACACGGTTAGCAACAGCAACAACAGCACCAGCATCTGTTAATAAGGGGGTGGCGTGAGAAAGATGCTTTACTAGAATTTCAAGATTATGTTGCTGTGTTACATAATTAATTACGGGGGTGCGTTCGATGCGCCATCTAGCGGTGTGGCATGCAAAACAAGTGCGCCGCCTGCCGCGCTCACACATAAATTATGAAAAGCCAAACAACAGCGGCGAGTACCGTTAAGTTAATAACATACCTTAAGACCAGTGCTGAAACACAAACACACACACACACACGTCTAACTGGAAAAACTTCATAGAGAGAGAGAGAGAGAGAGATGCATGAAAATAGGGAAAAATGTGCGGGCTGCGGCTTTTGGTAAAACTCAGCTGGCACCCGGTTCATTACGGGAACACTCACTTCCACTTGCAATTAGTTCTATGAATGAATTTATGCTAATTATGGGCTGCCAGCCAAGCGGCGTCCCATCGACCGACACGCTTTTAATAGCCCACTGGCAGCGCTTATATTTTGGGCAGAAAGATTTGTAAAAGTTTCATTGTTGTTGGCATCACCTGCTAACCCACAAATATAATGAGCCATTGACCGAGCGCTCCGAAAAGCGGGCATGGCCAACACAAGAAACAAAAAAACCAACAAAAACACAAGGAAAAACTAAAAAAAATAATAATAATAATAATAATAGTTGTATGAAAACTAAAAAACGAACGGTACACACGCATGCGGCATGTGTGTGGCATGCGGTTAGAATCGAATCTTGCGGTTGCGGCCGCTTCAGTCCGGACACCGGAGGCTTTACCGCATATTACGAATTTCCATTTGAGTGACCATATCAAAGTCCCCAACGAGGCGAAATAAAATACACGAAAAAACAAAAACATTTTAATTAACATTCACGTAATTTCGGGCTTAACATTTCGGCTGTTTTGGATCTTGCGTATCTGGATTCTGGATGCTTTTCCATAGATATGTCTATCAATTTCACTAATTGAACGTTAACAAGCCGCTCGCCTTGGGAGCCGGTAGCTGCCAGCAACGGATTCGGTTCGGCGCATCTATCAATCATGCTGCAAACAGGTCTTTCGTTTGGGGTGGGGTCCAATGTCGATACACTCGGTCTATGTTATGTGTGCTGGCCAAAGAACTTGAGCGAATCGTCTAACCTAAGATAGATAATCATAAGTGAAGGGTTGCCTGGCTAGTGGTCTTTGCTTCAATCTGAAATCATTTGATTCGCACAAACAAAAGACTTAGGCAACGAACTCGATCTGATTGATATATGATTTAGGCGTTGTTGCAATTGTGTTGTGAATGGATTTTGTACAGACATTAACCCATTTTAAGGCCCATCCACTATTCGTTTCGCAAGCTCGCACAGCGAGTCGAACTCATTTAAATGGAAATTCAATTGGAGTTTGCTGACCGCAAAGCTTATCAAATGCAATTGGACTGGACCATTAGAACAAATGACTTGGGCAGCGAACTTGTGCGTGCTCAACAAATCAAAAGGTCTTTAATTATGCTTAAACGCACTCACTAATTGTTTTTGCATGTTAACTGTCTTACTCAACGATTGTCTCTTATCAATGGAGCATCCGAAATTGAGTTACGCCGTTGCAAACATGTTCGAGTTCTTTAACCATATTTGCGATAGTTTCTTGTATTGTGAATGACATTATCTATAAGCTAAACAGCGCCATTTGCATTGCTAAATGGGGACCCGTTCTGCATCTCTCACTCCCTCTCTCTCTCTCTCTCTGTCTCACTCGGCCTCTGCCTTGCCCCGCATAATAGCAGCGAATTTTTAAAATTCTTTTGCATGTCAGGCACATTTGTGTGGGGCTCCCGTTAGTTTAGCTGGCTCAGTTGAATAGTTGTTGCCGGCCAATCGCGCTATGTATTTATGCGATGCATACATTGTTAGTTATGCAACAACAGCGAACAGAGAACAGCAACAGCTAACAGCTGGAGTCCACTTATGTAGCATGACAACTGCAACATCTCGACGACAACGAGAGACAACAGCGATGGAGGACAATCATTGGCGGGCATCAATGGCAGGCCTACATTTCAATGTCAGCCAAGTGCCCAGCGCTACCAATCAAGTTGTTAACTATGCAAAGCAATAAATTGCAACGGCCAGCTAGCAACAGCAACAGCAAGAGCAACAGCAACAGCCAACTGCAACAATTGTTATGAACTGAACTTTAAATAACAATCAGCCAAGTGCCGTTAAATGAATGCGACATTGTGTAGCCAAGCGAGGCGAAGCCAAAGCAAAGTCAAAGCCAACAGGTAAATCGGACCCAGCATATTAATTTACCTCGCGCAACTTAAAGCTGAAATATTTGCATAATAAACGCCAACGCCTCGGCAATGGCCATGGCCATGGTCACGGCCTGGCCGGGCCCAGCCTGGCCTGGGCTGCCGCTGGCCCTGGGTAAAGCGCATTCTCATTGCCGGCAATAAGTTTTAGCGTCAAGTGAATTGGTAACACGGCCCGCTCACTGCACGCGGCCACTGCGGCCAGCTTTTTGCTCACCTCGTACATTTCCGAAAACTAATGGCCAGCCAACAGTGATAATTTATCACTGGCCAGCAGCCGGACATGCACGTGAACTGCTCCAGACTTTTCAACGGACTCAACGGTACTTGCCACAAACAATGCACACTGCCTCACTGTTGCACTGTTGCGCTGCTGCACTGCTGCACCGCACTCAATTTGCTGCTGCCGGCTAGACCGCAGCATTCCCCGCGCCCAATCAAATTGATATTTGCTGCTATATTTAGTTTATGATAATGCCGCCGACTTGAATGCCGCAGCGCTCCGGCCCGGTCCGGTTCGTTCAGCTCTGCTAATATGCTGCTTCCTTTTGCAGCACGGCCTGACCGTGCATTTTTCAGCGCGTCACAAAGGCTTCTATTTATTATCGTGGACTGGCAGCCTTTGCCCAATATCTCATATTGGGTTCGTTTGGCTGCAATTGTGTTTGCCCTGGGGAGAGTGTAGCCTTTATTGATTCGAAATATATTGAATACCTGATTTTGATGGCTTAAAAGTCAATTAGCATTTGACATCAATTTAATGTTAATTAAAAATTGAAAGCGCCTTTGGGGCGTTGCATGCGAATCAATTTCGAAAGCACATCAAATGCTCTATGCTTTTCAGCTAGTTATTCCCAGTGAATTGATAATAAACAGTTAAGTGAAGTGTTTTATTGCTTTTCTGAGCATTCTTTATCGCATTGTTTGGCCGATAATGCGCATAATAAAATTAATTTTAGGCCGAAGAGCCTTTGAGAAAAGCTGAATTATTGCGCGGATCATTTGAGTAAATGAATCCATAAAGCATATATCCATTAGCCCATTAGCCCATCATTTGTTAATACCTGGGCAGCTGAAAGAAATCCTCTTTAGACAGTTTTACTGCGGCCATTTTATTTACTAGGCCTAATGGTTTTCCTTTTCTGTTTTTGTTTTCTGTTAGAAGTGCATACCATTTACACACCTCCTCTATAAATATGCCTTGAAGATTAATCTATTCACATATATTTACGCGTATTCCCTTCATTTCTTATGCCCAATTGGCCAGGCTAATTGTGTTTACCATTTGTAAAGCATTTATGATCATTTATAATGCAATGACATACAAAATGCTGAGAGATGCTGCTGGTTTGCTCATGCTCGAGTCGCATGCCCATAAACATAACACTTACAAAACCATAAAAAGACACTGGCTACAACTTAATCTTCATCAGCCGCCCAGACAGCAAAGACAGCTAGGACTGGGAAGACTGCGGCGACACGTTCATAGGTAGGCAATTAACACTTGACATTCTTTTCACTTTTTGTTGCTCTTGTCATGCGTTGTTGT